AGTGCTCTTCAGGGGAAGACTTCTGGAAATTTGCCATATTCACTGGCTAGACGTGGTGGAAAGATTTATTGTTAAGTGTCTGTAGAGAAAGATTTGAAATTTTGGTATTACCTATTTGTAATTTCATATTTAATCAAGTTAGCTTGTCAGATTTGAGAGATAGTGGATAATGGTTTATAAGTTGATAAATTTGAAGCTAATGATTTCAATAAACAAAAACTCCTGCACTATGTTAGGGACTCGGAGTTTTCCGCTGGCTCCAATGTAGAAATCTCGCATTAGGCCTTGTACCTATTATCCGGTATAAAGTTAAAGTAAAACTCGAAATAACTTGAAAGTGTAGTTTCTTTCAACTCTGTACGAAACTGGTTTTACAAAACGACTGTAACAACCGGACTGTTCGCTATCGATGTTAAAATGCGACTCCTTAACTCTAATTCCAAAAACTAAAAGTAATCTAAAGGACAAGGGCAATTGTCACCATCTGAAATAATAAAATTAGGAAAAACTATTACGTCTTTGGTGGCAAGGACACCCTTCATGGGTTATATTTACTTATATGTTATTTACAATAATTTCGGTTCATTTGGGTTCCTGCAATAGAGGTACCGGGTACCGACAATTGGAAACATCTTGTTGTGATATTGATGTTTACAGGACATTGGTTGTAAAAACAATTCCAACCGGCACATCTTTAAAACCTAAATAGACGATGAGTTATAATGTACCTGATTGATGAGGGACTAATCCAAACAGATGGTGGAATTTGTTAAAGAGAGGAAATGTGATGAACATAATTGTTATTAATAATGAAATGATGAATTTACTGGTTCACAACAACTAGATTTTATTCCGAAACGAAATGGAACTATAGATATTTGAAAAATAAATGAAACGTGACGGGTTGTACTTATAAGTAAACCTTAAACTAGACCCTTATCCTGAAAAAATAGGTTTGTTGGGACATCTGTGTGTTACTGGTGTGGCTACTGGACTGGAGGCATCGGTTCTGGCTTGGCGTCGTGGCCGGTATTGTAGATATTGGCTGATAGTCACTCCAGGCAGAGAAGGGTTCTAGCAAATAATATTATTCTAGGCAGTAGGCGTCATTTCTGATCTCTTTCTGCTGCTTGGACTCAACAGATTCTAGTCAATTCAGGAAAGAAGTTTTTCACAGTATTTGGCCTGTCGCGACAGGTTCTGAGCTCTGAGGCTTTCGCATCCCTTGCAGGCTCTGTTTTGATGGATAAGAGGCTCTAGGACATCTGATGTGAGATGCTCTTATTGGTGCTGGTAGTTTTGTTTATCGTCTCCTTGAAGCTGCTGCTATGGCGGCAATTATGGCTGCGTTGGCCTAGGACAATGGTCTCGCTGGGCGTTTGGGCTTGGAATGACTTTGGTGTTGTTCCCAAGAAGATATCCCGCCACTCCTCTACAGTGGCGGAGGCTTTCATGATACCTTAGCTTGTCGTGAAAATTTGGCGGTAGCGCCAGAGAGTACAGAATTGGACAGCTGATTCTAGATTTTCCGGTGCTGTTCGGGAAGGACTGAAGGAGGGTTATTGCCTTTATTCTGGATTTTGCAGGAATAGATTGCGGATACATAAAGGTCGATATAAGTTAGTAGTTTCAAGTTCAAGATTGACTGTGATACGATAAAGATAGTGAACTTTGTAAGAGTTGTATAGAGTTAAGTTGTTTCAGTTAATTAGTGAAGTAGTTAGTGTCAGAGTGTGTAGTAACGTGGAGTAAATTATTGTTGTGTTAATTGGACTTTGAATTTGGAATAAACGAGCACAAGATTTCTGTCACGCACCCCAGAGTCGTGACAGTGGTGTCAGAAGTGAGATATAATTCGAGGACTGCAAAGTGAAATCCGATTGCAGAATAGTTCGCGGACACTAGTGTGGACACTATAGTGAACACTGGGACAGTTAGTCAGTGTAAGCAGTGACAACCACCAACCACCAAAAGAGACTTAACCGATTGTGTAAAATACCCCGTAAGTGACTGTATACCCAATTTTGACTTTTGATAGATCAATCCTCATTCAGAAAAAGAATTTCGAGGAATTTCGGGAAAATTCTAAAACATTCTATTTGGAAACCAAGAGAGATATCGGATTTGTGACTTCACCGACGTGTTTGCTATATCAATCGACATGCAGGAAAGACATTTCCAGAAAATTCTAGAACATTCTATTCAAGAATAAAGCAAGTTATCTAATTTGGGACTCCACCGACGTGTTTGGAACTTCAATCAAATACCAGAACATCCTGTATATGTCTATTACGAGACAACATGCAAAAATGCAAGAACAAAAAGTTGAAGAACTTCTACGCAAAATGTTGGAACTTCAAAAGACCAAACGACAACAAGAAAAACAAGAGGAAGAAGCTAGACGAAAACAAGGTGAGGCTAAACGACAAAAAGATAAACAAAAAGAAGAAGCTAAACGGCAAAAAGAAAAACAAGAAGAAGAAGCTAAACGACAACTAGAAAAAAAAAGACCAAGAGGCCAGGCGACAAAAAGAACGGCAAGAAGACCTTGGACAACTACAGAAAATATTTCAAACCATACACGGATTTGTCGCTAACCTGGAAAAAAAGATTACGGAAGTAAAAGCTGAAGTAGAAGACGATGTTGGAGAAGTTAAAGACGATGTTCGAGAAGTTAAAAACGACATTCAGGAAGTAAAAGCCGATGTTCAGCAATTAATACAAGAAGTTGTTGAGGACCAAGCTCAAGCACTTGAAGGTAAGGTGCATAAATTAGAAATACAGTCCATCACTCCAGCTAGTGTTGGAGCATTCTCTAGTATGAAGATAAAACCACCAACTTTTGACAGTTCTACATCCAGGACCATGTATATCCGACAATTTGAAGCTGCTGCAAACACCAACGGATGGAACGAACAAGAAAAAGCTACAGCAGTGATAGTGGCGCTACGAGGACCTGCCTTAGACCTTCTTCAGTCCATTCGTTCAATCTACCAACAGAATTACCAGCATCTAAGTCAGACGTTAGAATTGCGCTTCGGCGATCATTACAGACAAGAATTATTTAGAACTCGAGTTAAATCGAGAATTCAAAAATTCGGCGAGAGTTCACAAGAATTCGAATCGGAAGTTGAAAGGCTGGTGAGTTTGGCGTTTCCTGCAGCTGGGGAAGACATACAGGAATGGATGGCAGTATCTGCGTTTATTGATGGTCTCAGAGATTCTAAGACCAGTGTCCATTGAAGACCCAAGGATAAACAATTGGCAAAGGAGGATGGTAGTTTCGAGAATGTTATGACTGATTTTATGGAGAAAATGAAGAAACGACTACTAGAAGGTAGAAAAACGGGAAACGATTCCAGACAAACACCAACACCAAGAAACCGAGTAGAATGTTACCGGTGCCATAATTGCTTGCACATATTCAACGAGATTGTAGAGTAAGGATGTCCTCTCCATCTAGGGATCGTTCCCAACGCTTTTCGAGATCTAGAGACGCCAGCCCTAATAACAGACTGGAAAACGAGAAGTAACCAGTACGGAGGGGCGAATGCTGGTTAGTAAAGACGATGCCCCCAGGGTTATTTACATAAAATCATTGGCAGTCATTATAGAGGATTGAAATTCGAGGGATAAATTAATGGAGAATTTAAAACCATCACTTTCGATACGGGTGCTGAAGTTTCTATAATTAGAAAAACATTAGTCAAGTCTCGGGCAAACCACCCCCTCACTAGAAACCTGTCACTACGAACAGTCACCGGGGGCGAATCGGTACCAGTTCAAGGAGAAGCTATGGTTGAGCTTACTTTTGGATAAGTCGCCGATATAGAGGATGCTTTTATTTTGGGAATGGATTTGATCAGCCAACATGATTTCTCTTACGATCCTTCTATGAAAATCCTTAAATTTGGTAATGAAGAATTTGTCCTACCTACACAAGAACAATCTCAAGCCGTTAAGATCCTGGCCACAAACCCGGTGCGGATTCCTGGAAGTACTGAGAAGATCATTTGCGGAAATAAACCCTGGGTGCTGCGTTGGACTAACACGTAATTTCATTGGAGATAAACCAGAAAAATTATTTCTCGTTGGAAAGACTCTAGTAAGAACAAATACAGACATTATGATAAGAATTGCCAATGTTTCTTCTGAAACAGTAAAAATAAAGGAAGTAGATATTATTGGAACTCTCGAACCAGTTAAGCAAATATCGAACTGTGACCTACCAGAGAAGCGACATTTTGTAAAACCGAAATTGGATGCAGACAGCTTGACTGGATTGGCACACCCAATTAAACAACCACCTCGACGTATGCTAGTAGCTAAACAACAGGAAGTGGAAGACCAAATTGGTAAAAGAGGGAATTATTGTGTATTGAAAAGTCAACTACTCCATGGTCTGCGGCAGTAGTATTGGTTACAGACAAAGATGGAAGTCTTAGATTTTGTATGGACTACAGTAAGCTCAATGACGTTACCAAGAACGACAGCTTCCCTCTTCCAAAGATAGACGATACATTAACAACTCTACCGGGCTCGAAATGGTTTTCCACCTTTCATCTTAAGAGTGGATACTGGCAAGTGGAAATACACAAAGATGGCAAAGAGAAAACTGCCTTCAGTAGGTTTGTTCCAGCAAAAAGTTGGAAACATGTTGGTGAAATTACAGTTAAATTTGTTGGTGACAGATGTTTTTAAGTTGGCAACAAATTTCTGTTGGAACGTAAATGTTTGACATTTTCCAATAAAAATTTGGAAGATAAAGAGAAAAAAAAAATAAAATAATACTTAATGATGCAGGGGATTTTAAGCGGTAATATAGTTTGTTATTTTTCAGTGTGTATTTTAAATAGAGTTTGGGGAAGGAGTTCCATCTAAAACTAACAGCTTCTCAGGTGGAAAATAAGTGGAGAACTCTCTTGAGGGCATACAAAAATGTGATTGATAATAACAATAAAACAGGCAGAGGTAGAAAGGTTTTTCAATATCAGGAGGAAATGGATATCATTTTTTGTAAAAAAAAGAATATAAATCCAGAAGTACTCTTGAGCAATGAAACCATTGTTACTATAGCTGAAAGTATTACTTCTACAACCCATAATAAAAAAGAAGATGAACATAATTCGGGAAGCCCTTTGAGTTCAAGAATGGAATTTGTTTCAGATACACCTACACATTCTGAAATACCCATAAAAAACAGTGAATTAGAGCAAAGATGCATAAAGAGAAAAAGAATTGTGTCCAGGAACGATGTTCTTGAAAAAATAAGAATAGACAGACAAAAGCAACACGAACAGATAGTAAGAAAAATAGAGGAGCGAATACAATTGCAGAGGCAGAAACTGCTGGAATGTAAAAGGCAAAATGATATACAGGAAGAGAGAAATGAATGCTATTCTTCGAAAGTATCTTGAAAATAGTTATAATATTATATGTGGTTGGTTGAAAATGTAGGTAGAATATTTAGTACTCATACAATCAGAATTATGGACTTTCTTTAGATATTTTTTTTTCCAAGTGTTTTTTCGATATTATTTTTCCTGTGTACCTACTAGGCTTTTTCAATTCCCTACGTTTTACTTTGCGTTTGCGAATAAAATGTGTATTGTATGTTTGATTTTTTTTATTAATAGGTACAAATCTTCAAGAATGTAAGATATTACAAATTTAAAGTACGAAGTAAGTAATTTCTATAAGCAGTTCCTTCTGGAATATCTCTCTCTAAATCTTCTTCATTCAATTCAGGATTATCTCGGTCATGCCCTTGTTCATTTTCATTTACTTCCACATCATCAGGGAATTCATCCTCTAGTGCCATATTTTGTAGCACACAGCAAGTCCTTATAAAATTTGCAATATCATTTATGTTTCTTGGTTTGCAATGGTACAGTTGGCGAAATTTCTGTTTCAGGAGGCCAAAACAGTGTTCAACAATATATCAGCAGTCTTTGATTAAAAAGTCTTTGTCGACGTGTTAAATTACCGTGATCTCTAATGGGGGATATTAGATGATGTGAACAACCATATGCACTATCACCCAAGATGAAATTATCGCCACATTTGTTAGGTAATTCATTGAAAATCTAAAAACTCTTGAATCATGCACTGACCCAAGAAAGTCAACAAAAAGGCTTCGAATTTTTTTTTTTTGGTGATCACACACCACTTGTAGCTGAAACAAAAATGTACTCATACTGTAGATATGTACATGTCCCTACATATTTTTATGTATTTTGTTGTACCATGAATCAGGATCTTGCTTTGGCTTGTCAATTCGGATATGGGAGCCATCAATAGCCCCTATGACTCCAAGGAAATTTTTTTCTCGGAAAAACCTTTCAATTTCTTGTTTTTCTTAAAAATCTGGCCATTTTATTGTTTGAGGAACTGAATTGCTTAGGAAATAAATGAGCCTCCTAATGATTCTAAACAAACTACTTATAGAGATAAATAATCAGTCTGATACGTCGCTAAAGGAAGCAGCCTCATGTCCTACAAACCATGAAAATTTGAGAACTCGATGCTCGGAACTGATTTTATCATTTCCCCCTGACTGGGGATTGGACAATTTGCTTCGCTCATGATGTTCTGCAATAGTATTGGCAGCATGTCGGCTTATTCGGAAATGTTCAATGAATTCCGATTCACTAAAATGCTGGACTGTCTCTTGGATATAATTTTTATTCTTTGGCCGCTCCCGGTTTTAAAATAATTCGAGCTCTAATTCATCATCTAAATTTTCCAAATCCATGTCACTATTGTCACTATTAGATGAGCTACCATCATATTTCAATTCATCGAACAAATCCATTACAATTTACCACAAACGGTACAAATACCAACTCACGAATAGACTAATATAACTCAACTTAGATTTATGCACCTGACAATCTGACAAATTTTACGATATGACAGAAAAACATAACACATAACAAAGTTCAAACCGAAAAGTTGGGTTAGGAATTAAAATGTTTGAAGAAAATCGAAAAGCATTTTGAGCAGTTGCCAACAAGCTGAAAATGTTTCGAATATCTGCTGAAAGAGCAGACATTTGCAAATTGTCACTAACATTTATTTGCTGGAACACAAAGGACCCCTCAATATTTAAATGGAAATTGGTTACCCGTGATATTTGGATGAAATTTAAATATGTTATTGGGAATGCCGTAAGTAACATTTTTTACCAGGGGCACAACCCTGTATATATGACAGGTGAGGCGTGGTTAGCTGTCAAATATTGGAATCTGATATCCAAAAGCAGAGTATTTATGGCAGATTTCGATGAACAAAAAATCTATTTCTACTAAGTCGACTAAGTTAAGTCGAAAAATGTCAACCGTTTTAACATTTGTCAAAACCCTGCCAAACGGCAGCACTCATCTTTTCCAGTTTTCAATATTTTATGTTGTCATTTGACATTTTTAACTTATATCTAAATTCTGAATTCAAAAATTGAAAAAAAAAATGACAGCTGTCAAAATGTGACATGCATGAACTTTGTTCAATGTTTTATCACCAATAAACTACCTTTAAACGAGAAAGAACCAGATTAGAGTATTTTTTCCTACTAAAACAAATGACAGGTTTTGACAGTTCTGTCATTTTTTTTTTTCAATTTTTGAATTTAGAATTTACATATAAGTTAAAAATGTCAAATGACAACATAAAATATTGAAAACTGGAAAAGATGAGGGCGGCCGTTTGGCAGGGTTTTGACAGGTGTTAAAATGGTTGACATTTTTCGACTTAACTTGGTCGACTTAGTAGAAATAGATTTTTTGTTTATCAAAATCTGCCATAGTTACTCTGCTTTTGGATATAAGATTCCAATATTTGACAGCTAACCACGCCTCACTTGTCATATATACAGGGTTGTGCCCATGGTAAAAAATGTTGCTTACGGCATCCCCAATAACATATTTAAATTTCATCCAAATATCACGGGTAACCAATTTCCATTTAAATATTGCGGGGTCCTTTGTCATTGCGCCTGCCACAAGCTGCTGCCAACATTTCTGATAGCCTGCTGAAACAAACATAGTACCGGAAGCGGGTTATACCAGTTTAACGTAATGCCTTTCGGTTTGTGCAATGCTCCAGCTACGTATGAGCGACTGGTGCATCTTGTTTTGCGAGGCCTTACATGGAGAACTTGCCTTATATTGAGATGATGTCATGATCATGGGAAATTCATTTCAAGAACATCTCAATAACCTGAAAGAAGTTTTTGACCGCTTCCGGAATGCCAACTTAAAACTCAATCCAAATAAGTGTTTTCTAGTTCAGAAGAAAGTAGAATTTATGGGCCACGTGGTATCTGAAGAGGGCATACAAGTTATGGAAGGAAAGATAGATCCTGTCAGGGATTGGCCAAAACCACGCGACTAAGGAGTTTTCCAGGATTATGTTCTTATTATGGAAGATTTGTAGAAGGATTCGCCAATATAGCTGCTCCGCTTCATCGTTTAACGGAAGAAAAGTTAACATTCAATTGAACCCAAGAATGCGATTCCGCTTTTAGAAAATTGAAAGGAGCATTATGTACAAGCCCAGTGTTATCCTATCCCGATCAGAAAGGCATGTTGATTTTGGACACAGATGAAAGCAACACCAGCATTGGAGCTGTCCTTTCACAAATTCAAAATTCACAAGAACATATCGAAGGATACTACAGCAGAACCCTATCAAAGCCGGAACGAAATTATTGTGTCAGCAGAAGAGAGTTGCTTGCCATAGTAAAAGCATCAGTCGACCATTTCCATAAGTACCTATCTCTACGGGCGTAAGTTTCTAATTCGAACGGATCACGCGGCTCTAAAATGGCTTTTAGAAATGAAAACTTCCGAAGGACAGCTTGCTAGATGGATTGAGAATTTGCACATGAGGAAAACACTGGTCCGGCTGTGACAAGAACGGGTCAGATCGTTGATGATAAATTGACTACCAAACAAACCAAACAAATGAGAGCAGATCAAGCAGCAGACCAGGAGATCGGGCAATTTCTACATCTTAAAGAAAATGTAGGCCAGAATGGAGGGAAGTGTCGACCGAGAGTTTGATTTACAAGGCGTTGCGGGCTCAGTGGAACTCTTTGGCCGTAGAAAATGGTTTACTGAAAAGAATTTGGGAAAGTGCCGATGGAAAATCTACTAAGAGCGAACTGGCTATTCCAAAAGAGCGAGTAGAGGATGTATTAAAAGAAATATTTTGGAGTTAACAAGCCTTTAGGACAAAATTCGGGAAAGTTTTTACTGGGTCCACTATCATGAAGACGTTAAAAACTGGTGCCGAAAATGCGACATCTGTGCTACCAGTAAAGGCCCTAAACTAAGATCTTGGGGGCCCATGAAACAGTACAACGTCGGTCTCCGATTTGAAAGAATAGCGATAGGTTTAGCCGGACCATTCCCTGAGTCAAAGCGTGATAACAAATACATCTTGGTTATCATGGATTACTTCAGTAAATGGCCAGAAGTTTTCGCTATTCCCAATCAAGAAGCCATGACTATTGCCCAGGTGCTAGTGGACGAAGTTTTCAGTCGTCATGGTGTGCCACTAGAGTTGCATTCAGATCAGGGACGAAACTTCGAATCTGCCATCTTCAAGAAAATTTGTGAGATCATGGGAATTCGTAGGACAAGGACAACACCTTTACATCCGCAGTCTGATGGCATGATAGAAAGATTTAATAAGACAGACAGAAGAACACACTGACAAAAGAGGTCGCAAAAAACCAGCGAGATTGGGACAAACATTTGCCTCTATTTTTAATGACTTACAGAGCAGCTGTTCACGAGTCAACAGGTGAAAGTCCGGCTAGAATCGTTTTTGGAAGGAAACTCAGATTACCTTGCGACCTGATGTTTGGAATACCTGAAGAAGAACGAAAAGTCGTGCGTCTCGAGCACGATTTCTGGGAATACATGATTTTGCTCGGGAGCACATTCAGCTGGCCAGTGACCGAATGAAGACCAGATACGACTTGAAAGCCAATTCAGCCGGATTTCAAGAAGGTGATGTAGTGTGGCTGTATTATCCAGCAAGAAAGAAAGGAGTGTCGCCGAAATTGTCTTCAGCATGGGAAGGACCCTACAGAATAAGCAAGAGGATTAATGATTTAGTTTATCGAGTTAAGCGCAACACCAGGAGTAAGATGAAAGTTGTATATTTGGACAGATACGAAATATCAAGGGCGCGAAGTTGATCGGGACGATCAACCCTACGAGAAGGGCAGTGTCGCGAAAATCTGGCGGAAGCGCCAGGGTGTACAGAATTGGACAGCTGATTGTAGATTTTGCGGTGCTGTTTGGGAAAGAGGGTTATCGCGTTTATTCTGGATTTTGCAGGAATAGATTCCGGATATATTAAGGCCGGTATTAGTTAGAAGTTTCAAGTTTAAGATTGACTGCGATAC